ATATAAAATAAATATATTATAATATATTGTTCTAAAAAATATATTGTTATAAAAAATATTATTTCAAAAATTAGTTAAAGTTAATTTAGTTATTTTAATCGATTACATCTTTTTTGGCGACGAAGAAAATTCGCATGCGACCATTAGATTTTTTTTTTAGCTTAGTGTGAAATTCATTCACTCGCATCGATGCTTCTTCAACGGTGATCAGTTTACCGAAGTGTGTCGAAGTATTGATTTTTCAGCGAGAGTCTCCGTAAGCTTCCTCGAAATCTTTCACCGGCAAAAAATATTCATTACGATCAGCTTATGCGGCATCGCGCGGCATATGAATTTTATAACGACGCTGAGTGATCGATTGAAAAGTTTAAAATTCCCGATAGTTGAATAATCGGGTCGAGTCAAAATTAACCGAACCTTGACACATCGATTACTCCCTTGGGAGAAAGCCTGAAAGTTCTCGTGACTTTTAGTTTCCTTCTTTTTATAACAGTCGAAATGACTTCATCGCGTCATTTCAGTTTCACCTTCTTTATTATTAATACATATTGCGAAATACATTTCAACGACACGCAATTGCACTTAAAACATAATCAATCTTATATATAATATAAGATAGAAAAGATTTTCAAATCCAATGCTATTATTTTTCTATCTTATAAAATAAGATTGATATAGGAGAACAATCATATTTATTATTAACAAAGGAATACTTTACTTAAATGGAAAATTCTTAAATTTAGAATAAAGTGAGATACTTGGACACATCAAATATTATGTATCAAATATTATGGCATCAGCATCGCACGTTATAACATCATAAAAATTTGTTCTAAACATAAGAATATAAAAACACTTAAATTTATATTTGTTTTGTTTCAAGACAATAAGTTAAGCTCATATTTAATTCAAGGAAGGAAAATCAGAGTTATTGATTTAATCTTATATTATTTTATTTTTGCTGCATAAAGTTGCAAAAAGGTTAATGCGTCAAGAATATTTTTTATTTCTATTAAAAATCCTTTTTAAGAGGGTGATTACGATTGTTTATAGGGCTACGAGGAAGAGCGATCTGGTTATGCCGGATCAGGCACGGGCGGTGGCGCGAGAACTCGGTGTGTGCTATTATGAGACAAGCGTTTTCACTTATTACGGTGTGAACGAGGTGTTCGAAAATTCGATACGTGCCGCCTTAATCGCACGTCGTCAGCAACGTTTCTGGATGACGAACTTGAAAAGGGTGCAAAGACCTTTGTTACAGGTAACAAATGATGCATACAAACGATTTTATGACTTGTCTTTCAAATAGAAATAAAGAAGAACTTTCGTTCTCATAATCTTTGATATTGTTCCTGAATAAATATAAAATTAAGATCATGTGTTTAAAAAAAAAAAGATGGATGCTACAATGTTGGATGATGCTTGAGTATGTTGTCTTCCAGTAAATACCAACTAAAGTAACATAAATCAATATTATAATTTCATACTTAACAATATAATCGTACGCATGATATATATTATATTTATATATTATATTTATATTGCTGAAGATGAAATTATAATATTGATGCTATTCTACTGTATTTACTGGGTTCCTTTTTGCAGGTGTTGAGCTGTTAATAAGATATGATGATTTTACTTGATAGGCACCATTCTGTCCACCAAAACCTGTACCGCCGAAGGTATGCTTGGCTGCAAGTACCTATGAGGAGAACATGAAGAGCCTGTGGACGAGGCCGATTCACACGGACGTTACCCTGATAGCGAGTAACTGCACGTTCTCGGTTCATCGGTGCTTACTCGCCGCTGCTTCGCCAGCGTTTCACCGGCTTTTCTCGATGGAACTCGCTCAAGAACTAACGCCGCGCAGCTCCAGCGAGTCCAGCATGGTATATGCCAGCTCTATCAGGTTCGGAGGTAGTAACAGGATAACACAATAACACATGTTTCCCTTATTGTCTCGTCAAGGTGAGCACTTTCGGCGAGGCCACCGTCGGTGACTTCAACGACGATACCGAGTGCCTAATTCGTATCGATCAAAGCAAACCCGCAAAGTGAGTTAATCCTTCCTCGTATGTTTATTCCTGCGTCGATTAACCCTTTATTTGGCAAGCCGCAGTTAACACGTGATGGAACATGTCTAATCTTGCGGATGTTGTTAACTAACATGCGTTAACATAAGTTGAGTGTCGCTTAGGCTTGATACTAATAAAAGGGCATGCAGTTAAAACGCTTCGATCATGCATTATCCAACACACTGACATAGCTTGAGGATGATTATTGCCAAATAAAGAGTTAGATGCAGTTCCCCCTTAGTCTTTGCACGGTCTTTAAATATCGGCACATTCGACTTTACGTAGCGACGGAACAGAGTTTGCAATATGTTTTAAAAAAAGAATTTATATGTTTTAATGTGTCCCGATTAACCCTGCACAAACGAGTTCCGAACCTTGCAGAGTCTGGGAGCAACTTAAGCGACGATCGAGTTTTCAAGTACTGCCGACGATGGATAATCAGAGAAAAAGCAACAGCGCGACGAGGGAGCTGAATCATCCTGCCTTCCAAAATATTCGTATATGTCTGGTGAGAGATTTTAACATTGTCCATGGGCGTATATAAAGAGAGAGCAAGGGGAGTACTTGTCCCTCTCCTTTTAAATTTTGGCAAAGAGAACCGATTAAAATAATTTTTATAATGAAAAGTTAACTCTTATTGCTTAATTCATGGTTCACGTATTCATAAGAACGTTCGCTGAAGATCCTCGAAAGCTGACTTTATTAACCATTCGTTGTCACTGTGAGATTAAATAGATCCATAATTCGAATTTCTACATTATATTGTATAATGAGATTTCATGAAACATTTGTCGAAAGTTTGAAGATTCTTCTATCGGAGACTATTCAAGTATGTCTTTTATAAAAATTTAATACCAATTTTTAATACTGGTCAATTTATTACTGAAAAACAGTAATTAATTACTTATTTGAAGTACTAAAAAAAGTATTGGGAGTACAAATTAGTTCGATCCGTTTCCCTAAAGATAGCTCCAGCTGTTGTGAATGGTCATAGTGACAGCTGATTTTGGCGGTTTCAGAGAGATTAAACATTTGCTAATAATATTCAGTTTATATCGCTTTGAGTTTCATACAAAAACCTTGATTTTTACTATGTTTGAAATGTCGAATTTTATTCGACCATTTTATTTAACCAAGCAGCATTTGCGGGAGATTTTAATTTTCTATTTTAATTGGAAGAAAAGTGCGGCTGAAGCCCATCGAATGCTTGTCGAAGTTTATGGTGACATTGCTCCAACACATGATAAATCATGTAGAGAATGATTTCGACGTTTCAAGGATGGAGATTTCAGCATTGAAGACAAGCCTCGCTTTGGATAGACAAAAAAATTCGAAGACAAAGAATTAGAGGCATTACTCGAAGAAGATCAGAGTCAAACGCAAGAGGAGCTTGCAGAATCATTGAGGGTAACTCAACAAGCCATTTCTGTACGATTGAAAACCATAGGAATGATTCAAAAACAAGGAAATTGGATGCCTTATGAACTGAAACCGAGAGACATTGAAAGGCGATTTTTCACTTGCGAACAGCTGATTCAAAGACAACAGAGAAAAGGTTTTTTTGCATCGGATTGGAGAGGAGAAATGGATATTCTACGACAACCCTAAGAAGAAAAAATATTACGCTAAGCTCGGTTAATCATTGCCATTGACCTCAACATCAACACCACGGCCAAACATTCATAATTCGAAGATCATGCTCTGTATCTGGTGGGATCAAAAGGGTCTTGTTGCTTACTATGAGCTGCTGAAACCTGGCGATTCCATTACGGGCGATCGGTATCGGCTACAATTGATTTGTTTGAGCCGTGCATTGCGAGAAAAACGGCCGAAATGCGAGCAAAGACATGATAAAATTATTTTTCTTCATGACAACGCTCGGCCTCATGTCGCTAAAGTCATAAAAAAATATTTGGAAACGCTCAAATGGGATGTTTTATCGCACTCGCCGTATTCTCCGGACATTGCTCCTTCTAATTACTGGTTGTTCCGGAGGATGTAGCAAGTCACCGGTTCATTTCTTTCGCAGAAATCGAAAATTCGCTCCAAAATTGGATCGCCTCCAAAGAATCATTTTTTCGAGATGGAATTCGAAAATGTCTGAGAGATGGGAAAAAGTAGTAGGTAGCGATGGACAATACTTTAATTGATCTGTTCATTCATTTTATTTTGAAATAAATGCACAAAAAACGGATCGAACTAATTTGTATTCCCAATACTAAACAATAATGATTTTAATACATAGAATAAATAATTAGTCTTTCAGTATTAATTAATATTAGATTTCTATAAGGAGCGTCAATTTAGTATAATGTATAGTAACTTTGAAGAGGATCATTTTCGATCATTATTTTGACTTTTCTGAGGTGAAACAACAAAGAATTAATATAAGTATATTTTAGTAAGTTTTGTGTAAAGAAAAATTTTTTTGTTTCCCTTCCAACTGAAATTCTTGATGTATCCATAACATGTCGCACAAGGACTCGCCATCGTTCCGGGTGATTACTTATCGTCAAACGCTTTACAGACTGAAAATGCGAATGGTGTGCAGCAGCCCATGACTGTGATCACGCTGTCGAAGCTGATCACGCCGCAGGCGATGCAGCAATGCTTGCAATTCATTTACACGGGCAGCCTGGACAAACGGTATCACGATCTACAAGTACGTTGGGTCGGTAGAAATTATAAGAGAAAAGGTATATTCGAGAATGTAAGCAGACACCCTCTTTGTTTATCCGCCGCGAAAATAACGCGCGTAAATAAGCGAACGGAAATAGGCGCGGTATAATCTCCGGGCAAAGAGAAAACGAACGAGGAGCGAGTTATCTCGGAGATTTATACGAAATACAAACTCAATCGAATAAATATACTCTCCGGTTTGACTTCTTTTGCGGTTGCGCAAGCTCTATCGCCTTTATATTAGGTACAATTTTAGCAACGTTTACATTAAATTTACGTAAATTATACAATTTGAGAAAACATGATTGAGAAATCGCGAATGCTACTGACGTATCACGTCTGATAAGAGATACGGTGTGTACTTGTATGATCTCTTAAGAGCGTGAGCTAAACTCGCAATTGTTTGCAGAATATACAAAGTAACTAACGCGGCTCTATTCTTTCAGACAGCTCCTATCGGGCTTCTACTGGTTAGTACCAAAAGCGAAATGCGTTTGGAAATTTGGCAGTCGCATTAATACATACGTACACGTTTACATGCGCACGCACGCACGCACATAGTAGGCTCATCTAGCTGATCTGTTTCGACTTTTGAAGATTTAATTGCGTGATCATATCATACGAGCATGTGCCTTTCTATTACGATTAATTACGAGGCAAACTCGACGCATTTCCAAAAACTAATCTTTCAATTGAATAATTGAAATAAAAATTAATCAAATATTAAGAATGAGACATAAAAATATCAGAAAGCTGAGAGATTGTTAAAGCTAATGCTAAAAAAATTGTTTACGTGTCTTGAAGACACGTTTAACTATCTTATATCATAATTATTTAATACCGCATAATTTGGCAATACCGATCTTTAACGTTTAGCTGATAGGCCATGCTCACATTAAGCTTATAGCGAATCATCGCTTCCGTAGTATCGTGCGATCATCACGAGCGGGGGGATCCTCGAGGAATCGACGCACGGTCGACTTCGGTCGAGGAGGTGCCGTGCATGGATACGCTTCCAATTGTTCTCACCGACATTCTAGAATCATTGCCTAGTAGGATAGGTCCTCTAGCGATTCGGAAGCGATCAGATCTCGTGTCTTTCTTTTTTTTCTAATCTAATCGATCATTTTACGTCATTGGAAGTCGCGATGATGCATCGACATGATGTTTCGGTTGCTCTTGCCTACAGGAAATCAGGCAAGCAGCCGAATTTCTCGAGTTGCCGCAATTACTCATGGTCCTCGGTAGCATACAGACGCGGGAGCAGTTCGTCAATAGCGATCTCAATAATCGGTACAAGCAAGTGGTTAGACAACGGCTGGAAGATATCTGCCTAGAGCAAGGTGGTATATATTGTTTGCGATTAAAAAGGTGAAGTAATGCGAGTTTTTGACTAAGAAACGTGATACACTTAGGTCTCTTCGCTGATGTGATGTTTGAGCTAGATGATGGCAGCGTACCGGCCCATAAAGCGATTCTCACTGCCCGATGCGACGTAATGAAAGCCATGTTTTCTGGCGATTTTCGCGAAAGCAGCGCAAAAGTCGTAAGTAAAATATAATAATTGCAACTATCATAACTGATCGTAATTTCATGCGTAATTGATTAAATATGAATTATAAAATTACTCTACAATGAAAAAATTTTCATAACATCTTATAATTTTAAAAACTTTTTATATATTAAATTTATTAGAAGATTTCTAAAAAGCTCCTTCAGATTTTATAAATTATTTTGGAAATTATAGGATAGAAGAAATCTTAGTATATATATTTCGGAATTTATATATGAATATAAAGAAAAAATGCTCTGTAGAAAGATTTGCAGGTTCAATGCTATTATTTTTTGATTTATCAAAAAATAAAATCAATATAGAGACAATTCTATTTATTGTTATTTTACTCTTAAATGAAAAATTCTTAAAGTTCTTAAAAGGCTAAGATAATCTTAGACATTGTTTCGTGTAAAACATTGGCACTAACATTGTACGTTATAATATCGGAAAAAGATTTTTATTCTAAACATATTAAAATATATAAACGTATAAATTTATATTTGTCATTTTTGTCTCAAGACTTAAGTCAATCTTATTTAATTCGAGGAAAGAAAATCGAAATTATCCATCTAATCTTAATATTATTTTATTTTTATATTGTATAAAGTTGCGATAAGATTAGGTACATTAAAAATATTTTAGATCAAAAAATCTTTCTGAGGTGCAGAATTTTTCAGAATTTTTGTGTTTCAATTTGTATAAAAAAATTGAAAAAACTCTTTAAAAAATCAAAATACATATTATACATATACAAGTTCTTAAAAAAAATATAATGAATTTAAAAATAAAATTTTACCAAAGTAATTTTAAAGAACTCGAATAAATTAGACATAATGTTTAATCACACACGTAATAAATACGAATCATACCGCAACGACAGATAGTCTTTCCTGGGGTTCGGGAGTATACATTCCACAAGTTACTCTGCTATCTTTACACGGACGAAGTGCCAGCGATCTCTTCGGTCAGATGCCTGAATCTATTGGAACTAGCCAACAGACTCTGCCTTCAACGATTGGTCAACTTAGTCGAGAGCAGAGTGATTGAAGATCTTGAACGGCTTTCGCAAAATGAGGGGAACGACGCTGTGGAAAACTGCCTGAGGCTGTTGGAGCCATGCAAAGTCAGTTTCCTTCACGTGTTTTACATCAATTAAGACGCGATAATAGCAGTAGAGCGGTACCCATTTAACGCTCAGTTATGATTTTCAGCTGCATAATGCCGATCAGCTGGCCGATTGGTGCATGAATCATCTCTGCGTTAACTATAATAAGCTGTGCAAAATGTCACCTCGTAGTGTGCGACTGCTTCATCCAGAGAACCAGGAGTATTTGAACGAGCACCGATGGCCGCCGGTTTGGTACGCATTACGGTGATCTTACAATTCTTTCTACTATTTGATTTCAATAGAAAAAAACTTTTTCCCTTATAACTTTTTTTTACAATATATGTCATGCTATTAACATTTATTTTTATCTAAGTAAATTTCTATATAAGTAAATAATGTAATTTTCATATAATAATAAATTCCGTCTATCAATCCGAATAAATTAAATATCGATATAATAAATTCAATCAAGATTGCTACGTTTAGTTCTTTAATACATGTATATTGATAATTTTGATACTATGACAATTTATCTCTAATAGGTACTTGAAGGATTACGATTACTATCAAAAGTGTTTAGCGGAGCAGGTACGCGAAAACAAGCCGACGTTGAAGCGGAATCGCAATCAGTCCGGTTGTCTGTGTTTCTCGGGCTCGAGTAAAACCAGACGGGAGGGTAACACCGGTAACGGTGGAGGCACAAAATCGACAACGTCGAACGAGACACCGGCAGATCGGCCACTTTTCGACGCCTCGACCGAATCCGGCGAGCAAGCTGTATGACAGGAACCAAGCGGCCTCAGCCGCTCCGTCAGATTCATCCTGGTCCTACCTGTGCTCATGGTCTTCATATGCACTATTTTTACCATTTTGATACTGCTACAGATTTATACTTAAGCGGACTGCAAGACACCAAAGAGACTACGCGTAAACGCACGAAACACACACCTAAATATATGTATATGTACATATATTTATTTATATATATAATATTACCATATATGTGTAATATTGTATACATATAAATAAATGTATATATGTATAAATTATATTTATTATATGTGTAAATAAAATTACAATATATGTATGTGTAATATATACATATAATATACATATAGTATATATGTATATGTATATATATATATATATATATATATATAAATAGAAATACACATTATATATACATATAAGTAAATAAAAAACACACACACATACACGTACCATGAAAAACAAGCAATCCAATAATCGCGACGAAAGCCGATTTAGGGTTAGCTAGGGGATGCATTCGATTTTAACTCGTCGAGATCGAGTCTTGAATCCTACTCCCTATCTTATGATTTCTCTTTTTTCTAACGGAATCATCATTCTTCGCGCCGTGCATTTTTAAGAAGCTCGATTCCGCCAATCCATACATCGAGTTGGTCGCGAGTATCCGTGAACGTTTCCATGATTTTTTTTGTACGTGGACCTGCGGATTTTTCGCGATGCAACTCACATATTTCTATCTTCCGCAAATAAAACAAAAACTTCGTGTTTTGAAGGGAGACTTTGTACTTTCTCTATTTGCGCGTTGATATCCCGGAATGTATATACATTCAGAAACAAAATGGTGTGGATGCCAATACGAATAAAGATTAATTCACTTTTGTTTAATTCATATTTTTCCTTATCAAAATAACGATTGGTGCGAATAAACATATCCATAAACAATCATTTCACGTATGTACAAACATCTCAAAAAAAATGGCAATCTATAAGAAGTAGAAAAGATAAACTGAATAGAAAATGTATTCTTTTTTTGTTGTATATCAAAAAAGAAAAATATATGTATACGTAATAATTAAAGTCAACTATTCCTATTCTATTTTAGTCATAGAATTTTAAAAATACTTCCATATAAAAAATATAAAGTCATATCAAGACGCTAGATAAAGGATATGAAGAATAATGAATGTGAAGGAACTAGTTAAAGTAGTAATTAGGAATGCTTAGAGTTAACGAATTGTATATGATAATCTTGTATATGCGTACATTTGTCAACATTTAATGTCTTTCCACATATATAACAAGGATCGTTGGTTAGTGAAGAAATCAATTATAAGCTTGAGCGTCCACACTTCATTGTCTCTGATTGTATGTACGCGACTTTCGCGAATATAACGCAATGCGCTTGCATCATGCAAGTATCGCCACTTTCGCCGATGTAAAGTTTTGTTGTTAAAGAACACGGCGACGTGTATTTTAGGTCCCCATTCTGTAATATTTTAACAACAGTGTTGGTGTTATTACATTGTCCTTGCACAGCTTTTTTACTATGTATATATTATATTCTCTAAAACTTTTAAAGTGAATTTCATTCTGAAGAGTGCAATCTGTTAGAGATTGAAAATTGAACCACTCTTTTTTAAGACTCAATGTCATTCTTTAGAATAATATTCTCCTCCAAAGAATTAGAGAGTAAAATTCTGCGCAACGATAATGTAACGATATTATTGAATTACAGAATAGGAGGCATAGAGCATCGATCACGGTATGATTGTCGTTTCGGTATGATTCTTTTGCGTTCCCTCCGTGGACCAGCGATTATTACGACAATCATCCGCGATCCATTAATGATTGCGATAATTATTACGCGTACGTAATATTTCAAAAGCGACACGTAGGAAAAATGAAATTCCGATATTGGGCTTTAAACGAAAAATACGCGCGATGTCTGTTTAAATTAAGAGAAACGGAACGCACGCGTAAGATAGTCGTTCTGTTGTCGATGCGTGTTAGACTGAAGAAACGAGCAATAGCTTTAGTTAGTAGCGCAGCTAATAAACGGTGCAAACGCAAACTCATCAAAGTCAATCACGTTCTTCCACGTTTCAGTAATTCGCGTTGTTTGAACTTCTCAGAATCTTCTTATTTTTCTTTTTAATACCCGAATATATATTTATCCCGTTTTGAGTGCAAAAATTTTTGGAAATTTCAAACAACGTGAATAAAGCATAGTCTATTGTTGCTATTTATTAATTATTACTATACTGAAAGAAAGTCTGGTAATAACTACCAAATGTATTTTATTTAGCGGATTGGAATACAATATTTAGTAAAAGTTACCAAATATAATAATAATAATTAGAAAAGTAGATTTAGAAAAATAAAATTGTGTAGCATTTAGTTAGTTTCGGTTATATTAATCGAATATTTGATTAAGTGTCATCTAGAATTGATATTATCAGGCTAGATTGATTACCAGGCTTTTTTCAATATGTCAATAGGACAGGGAGTTATCAGAAGATACACTAATGTTTCACGGCAATCAATGGCAATTAGCCAAAGTGCTGTCTTGTACACAAACGGCGGAACGTGATAGACTTTGAAAAGATCGATTCTTCGTTATTTTTCGGTATAATAGTGTTGGGCATTTACGGATATACTTAGGTAAAACGACACATTTTGAGATGCATTGGCCACTTAAGAGATATTCATTTTTACAGAATATATTCGATGAGAGTCTTGTAATTATAACATTGAATTATTTTATGATTTTGTTCATATTTTCTCTCATGCGTCAGAGAAATCAAATTTAATTCCAGTCAATGTAATATACTAAAAAGTAGTGATTAATTATTTATTTTGATTAAATATTAAAAAGCGCTATTGTTAAATATTAAAAGGGCTATTGTTTAGCGCTTAAATTATTAATTACTATCAAAATTTAATACATTCCAATAAATTTCTGTAAGGGCTTAAGACGTGAGCAAAACTCGTAAATTGAACTTTATGTTAAAAGTAAGCAGAAATATAAAGCTATCGACGCCTTTTATCACATGAAGAAATTCATGGCATTTAATTCAAGAGAAAATATGCGGAGAATGTAAACGAAGACTCTCGTTAAATAGAAAACTTACGAGAATGCAAATGGTCAATATAAATCACATAGTGGTCAATAAGCGTAAGTAGCACTTACACATAATGTATGTAGAATACTGAAACTGTCACCTTATAGATAGCGACGACTAAATTAATGTAAGGAAGGACGGAGACATGGAATATTTCTTAAATGTAATTTGAAAGTCATTGTAAAGTTGTCCAGAGAACATCTCGATTTATTACGATATTCTTTGGTTTTTTAAATGTCTCCGTGTTGTCCGAACGATAGTTTAATTATATACGTAAAGTGATAGTTTAGATATTCTACACCGTGATTACTCACTTGTTTACTCGAAGACGCCCAAGACTGCTAGGTACGTAGCCGTTTAAAAGATACGCGACGCAAGTGTGCCGCGCCGTATAAGTTTGAGCAAATTTGTACTCTTTACGAAGAAAGTGCGGCGATAAGTTCTGTCTCTCCTTCATTCCATCCATACGATCTGTAATAAATGAGATCACTATTTCCTTTTCTAAATTTCACATAGAACTCACACCACTTGCAATGACAACTCGCAATTACACGCATTGGATTACTATAATTTTATTTGTTTTCGCGAAGAGAGGGAATTGATCAACGCTAAATATCGCCGCAGTCGCATCAACATATCGATTATGATAATGAGTTACTGCTGCGACGACGCTATCATCATTGTCATCGCGGCAGCGACGAAATTCTATCATACAAATAGAGAGAGAGAGAGAGAGAGAGAGAGAGAGAGAGAGAGAGAGAGAGAGAGAGAGAGAGAGAGGAAGAGAAAATAGGAGAGAAAGAAAAAGAGATGATTATGTTTGTAAGGAATGTGTACTAATTTTTTAGGGATAAGGCAAAGCTTCCTATTTTCTCGCCCACGAAAGGCATCCGCGTTTCGGCCGGCAATGTTTTATCTGAAAATTATTTTATTGACTTTATATACACATTATTATAATACGAAATCTCACATTGAAATACCATACGTATAAATTATTTCAAGTAAAATTAGATTCTGATTTTGTTGTTCATTAATCTAGTTGAATTAATGAAATGATAAATCGAGAAAGAGAGAGGGAGAGAGAGAGAGAGAGAGAGAGAGAGAGAGAGGAGCGGGAGAAGGTGAGAGATAAATTTGAATTTCTTCATATGCTTTTCAAGGAGTATTTTATAAAAATGATTCTTGCGCACATTCGAAGAAAATGTAATCCTGTCCGGCCGTAACGATCGGATTAGCGTAATAGTGATACTACTATTAATTACTAACAATATTAACGATAGTCATAACATGTAATAATAATTGTAAGCTAATCGATGTTAAGGTATTATCATTAATAATTTGATACTCGTTAGCTCCGATCGTTCGCGTAATCATCTTTTCAATTCATTGCTCGCTATCGTTTCTTGACGAAAATAAAAAACAAAGTATAACTTGAATGTAAGGGAAGAAGTAACACAAGCATAAACGAAACTTCTTGTGAAAACACAACGAAACGTAAAAAAACGTAAATATCTCTTATTACATTTGACTTATGCTCTGATATTTATTTTTCTCAGGAGTGAACAAAATAGCAAAAGGATAAATGAATTATGTTTGCCTTACAAAAGAAAGATGAAACAAAATGCGAAACAGGTATTAAAAGAAAATGCGAGAAAAGGGGGATAGGAGCCCAGATAGCACAGAATCCGAAAAAAATTCTTTTTTTAGTTTTCAATTTATGAATGAATTCTTATTTCATTTAAATTTTATCCTAAAAGTTTTCCTAAGAATCCCAAAAGATTTCATTTTTATATCACCAATTGTGAGTTTTTTATCAGATTTAAAAGGTTTTTTTCTATTTCTTAATTTTGTATAAGAATAAATTATACTTTGATTTTTAGGCAAATTAAATATTATTTTTATTTACTTTATTAATTATTTTTATTAAATATAATTAAAGGTAATATAAACAAATATGCATATAAATATATTTGTATAGGTGTATTTTAGAATTCTTCTTGAATTTATTTTGAACAGATTACATAAATTTATAAATTTATAAAGAACTTAAGC